TGGTCGTCCTTCCTTGGGCAGGTAGTTCAGCCCCCAAGCTAGATACTATCTCACTCTCGCGACTCCTCAGCGAGCGAGGAGCGAGCTAGAACCGCTCAAAGTTCTAGTTCTAACGCCTGCTCAGTTGGACCGCCTCACTAGCTAGCTGCCCTCTGACGGAGAGCCGCTCAGTTGTTCCTTGTTGGGACGGCAGTCATTAATCGGAACTGCATGTATTTTTTGCTGACCGCGCTCGTGCTCGTAAATAATTCTGCTCTCCTTCATCACATTTTATTCATTGGGAGCACGTACAGTCAACAGCAACCCATCTCGTAAGGTAAAACGCGTAAAAATCACGAATGATGCAATTTCTGTGGTGCAAAAGCTCGACGCACTTCACTACACTAAAACATGCTCGCTACCGTAACCCTAAGTTCGGACGCCGGCTTTTTAAATGTTTCCTTTTCTTTTCAAGAGTTTTTCCTCTATGTTTCTGTTGTTTTTTGTTTTCTTTTCTTCGCATTCGATGATATCCACTACTGGGAGATGTGACAAAGTGATTTGTGAGCCAGGGCTTGCACAGACCGCAGGGAGGTGTGACTGTCAGGGCGCGATTTTGTTTATGGTGTTCTTGAGGGCTCTTGTTTCTTTTTTCCTTCATTGAGGAATTACTTATCAGCTACTGTTTCATAATTGATCAGCAATTATCCTTGACACTTTTATCGCGGGAGCTGTCTTTAAAATTCTGCACGGAGCATAAGCACAGCCTAGGTTTTCTAGGAAGGCTGCGATATCACTGTACTCTGAAATGTGGTCCATTCAGGATAAATGGTGTGTTGCATGGAGATCCGCTCGACCTCATCCTTTTCCAGCAGACAGGATGGATTCTTGAGGAAGCTGGATCAGATGAGTCTGATCATGACGAAACGGAAATGTTCGACATGGTTCAGGTGGATTTTTAACCCAAATGTGCAAGTGTTGGCTACTAAAATATTTTTTGTTGCCTGTGATTTGATATTATATTCTATTTTCTTATTCACTGCTTTATCAGGGTGTTGTATGTATTAGTTCATATAAGTTTTGTTGTTTTTAGCCAACAGTCGTGAAACCACCATCACGCGATAGCAAAGATGGCTGTGAAGAATATTCTGTTATCCGACAGTTCACTTTTAGGTAGTTTTTTCCCCATTATTTCTAAACTGCTGAGCTGTTTTATGCCTTTGTTTTAATGCCACGAACCTCTTCAAAGGCAGTAAGCACAGTTGCTGGAGGCGGCCGGTTGCTTCCAGCGTCACTTGGTGGAAGGGCTGCGAGAGGGCGTTTGGCCACACCCCACTCAGCCCTTCCACCAATGACGTTGGCGACAGCCGCCCGCCCCCAGCCACCGTGCCTACTGCTTTGAAACCTGATTAATCAAAGTTATGCCGCCATGAGTTTTTGAATAACTTGTTAGTTGTTCGACTCTGACCGCTGCATACCATCAACCCGCGCCTTGGCGACTGTGGTGAAGATGATGTCCTAGACCGTGGCGACGTTGTCGGAGCTGCTCGATGTTGGAGGTCATCCAGATCGAGAGTACTGGTCTCCAGGTAGCTATCCATGGGACTACTAGAAGTTTCGCAGCTGTTTGGAGGTGACATGAATTCCAAAGGTCTTCTCCAGTCAGGCTGCGACTGGAGATGACTTCATATTTTGGTGTACATGAAGGTGATGGGCGAGAGCCAGCTCCTGCTTATCGAGGAACATCTTGGGTATCTTCCGCCCTGGTACTCGTATCCACGTCCTCTGTCTGGGCTGCGAAAACTTTGCTGATATGTGACTCGGTCGAAGTGACTTTTTTTGCCCCCCCCCTGTATATTTCGAAATTTTAAGTCCCTCGAACTGGAGCTGCTTCATCCTTCTTTTGAATTGTTCCAGTGTTTTTATTCGTGATTGTTCTTATATTCTTATAGCTCGTCCCTTCAACGCATGTCTGTGATTGTGTTCAATCCTTCGAAGGACTCCCACTCAATGACCCTGTATTGCAAGGGAGCACCGGAAATGGTTCATTCGTTGTGCGATCCTGCTACTATTCCTGAAGATTACTTCGTAAGCCTGATTTCCACTGATGTTTTGTTCCATTTTCCCCACCTTGATTTTAAGGTGTGGTTATAGTTTGTTGTTGCAGGCTGTTGTCAATGAATACGCACAGCACGGTTTTCGTTTGATAGCTGTAGCGCGACGTTCCCTAAATCTCAATTTCAATAAGGCAGTCAAAGTTCCAAGAGATAAGGTAAGTAATTAGTGTTTTATTGAACGCTTAAGTGGCCCCGGTTCTGCGATTGTACTTATAATGCAGCGTTTAGACTTAGCGATGACGCGGTACCACTATAAGCAGGGCACGCCATCGATCATTTCTTGAAAAATACGACCCCCCCCCATGCTACCTACCACTTTCCTAGATTTTCCCAACTTCCTACCACTTTTCCATTTTTCCCCAGAAAATTTCCAGTTTTTCAGCCAAGAATTTCCAGTCGAGCGAGGGGCGGTATAGGGGTATACCAGTTGAAACAGGAAAACTTCTCAGATCTTCCCCAGCTTTTCCGAAATTTCCCGGAAAATGTGATCATCACAACGATGACGTGCCCTTACTGTAAGAGCGCCCCAATGCTATAGACGCAAGCGTAGCCGCAGAAGGGAATCGATCGTCGGTGGCCGCTTCCCTTTCGAGGGAGTATAGGGGAATAGGAGGGTAGACCTGGTTCGCTGCCTTCAAACCACCTGATACCCTGCTATCCATCTCTACACTCCCAAAGCACTAGCGGCCGATGTCCGATCGATACCAGAATGTTTAATTAGTACCGTCATATTCCCCCCATACTCTCTCAAACACAAGCAGCCGGCGCCGATCGATTCCGATATGCGGCTGCGCTCGCGTAGCTTTGAGCACTTTTGTAGGTGTAGCGCGTCGACGCGCGTCATCGCGAAGTCTGGCACTGCCTAATTGTGGCTCAAAAATTTCTAAAGCCATTTGAATTGGTAGACGAGAGTAAGTTGGTCATATTTCTAGTGTACTAATAAGTACGGGAAATTAGTGGGGATCCGCTGCCGTTTGAACGCATTATTCCTGCCACTTTTTTCAATTCTTCAATAGTAAGGTTGAAAAACGGAACGGGCTGGCTATCAAGATCATCTTCCCATTTTGATTTTTAAGGTGGAGTGCAAGCTCGAGCTTTTGGGTCTTGTTGCAATGGAGAATCGCATCAAGCCAGTTACTTTAGGAGTGATCAATCAGTTGAATCGGTGCGTTTGATCACGTTTTGGTGCGAATGTTTTCAAGTGTTTCTGGTCATTTCTTCATTGGTGGCTGTTGTCTATAACAAGTTCAATAAAATTGTTTTCCTTCCAGCGCTCACATCAGAACTGTGATGGTGACGGGTGACAACTTGCTCACAGCGATGAGTGTTGCTCGAGAATGTGGAATAATAAGGCCGAACAAACGAGCTTTCCTCATTGAACATCGTCCAGGAGAAGTAGATTCATGCGGCAGAACGAAAATAATTATCAAACAAGTAACGGATTTAACCTTTCGATGACTGGGCTCGGAATCCTTAATCTTTTTCTTTGCAGTCCGTTTCCTCATCTGGCGACATACTAGAGGAAGACCCACTTTTCACAAAGGCTGAGGTAGATGTTGAACTTGGGAAGC